AAAGTCATTAACAATAGGCCATGTATAGCTATTGTCATTTTGATACCAATCAATCTTCAATTCTCAGTATAAATCCTTTTTCTCCTCCATTCTTACATTCTTCATTTGTGACTAAGTGATTTTTCCCCCAGAAATAGTGTCTTTTGTGTCTTCATTATTTTGGTGTATCTATTTTAGAATTGCTTTATGGCTACCATACGACTTACAAAAATCATGTTTTGATTATAATGCGTTAGTGATCATAGAGATTAGAAAAGAAACAAAAAGAAAGGCCAAGGCTTGCATTCAGTTGCTCTCCACAGTTGGAATTTGAATTATTTTTCTTGAGAGAAGGTCTCACCAAGTTGCCCAAGCTTTTCCAGAGCTTATAATTCTTCCTCTGTAGCCTCCCAAGCAGCTGGGACTGAGGGACTACATTACTACACCCGAGTCACACACCTGCTTCTTGAAAGCTGCTCCTGGGCTCCCACGCATTTGCTCCATTCGTGCTCCTTTTCACCCTTCTGTTGTGACCCTGTGTTTTCTTGTTACCCATCCTCAAGCTTTTTCTCCCTGCTGCTTGGTTTATTATGCAGTGGATGCTATTTTGTGTTTATCTCTTAGTCTACTATGCTTGAGTATTTCTGCTTCGGTTTTAAAAAATTCATCTTTTCTCTCTGGTAAACGTTTGCAGAATTAGATTGTTCCTGTGGACTTTGACTTTTTTCTTTTTAAGACAGGATCTCATAGCATTAGCAGGCTTGGATTTTGCTATGTAAACCAGGCTGACATTGAACTCACAGAGATCTGCCCGTCTCTGCCTCCCATATGCTGAGTTTAGAGGCGTGGCCTCCTCCTTCTATTCGCACCCTGGTTTTTCTTTTGTAAAGTGCATTAGGTAATTGCCCAACTGAGAGCTTACTATGCCGTTGTGTTTTCTTTTGTTGGACAGGATAGGTCATATGTCCTAAATGTCTTGGTGATTGTTGACATGCCATGTCATCTGAAAGCTGATGGATTTAGCTCTGCACTAGTCTTCATAATCTGGCCTCTCTTGTTCCCATCTTTCCAACAATTCTAAGCAAGACATCTGTTTGTCCCAGAGCATCTGCACACTTCTACTACAGTACTAGGTACCACAAGCCCAGGTTTGTCATCGGATTACTGTTGGTGTGCTGTTGCTGTTTCAGCACTAGAGGGCGCCAAGATCCCATTCTGGGGGAGATTCTGGAGGTGTCATCTACATGCTCTGGTCCAGATAGGCCCAGTGTTAAGTCGTACCCACCCTAGCAGGGTTCTAGACATAGGCCTAAGTCCACTTCAGTATCTACCTTTGTGTCCTTCATCTCAATGGCTGGAGTCTTAATTCTCCCCATGTGTCCAGACTTGGGACAGGGGGTGTAGAGGCTGCCCAGGTGATGCAAAGCTTGAGTTACTCCTGCTGTATACCAGCTGCAGAAAGATAGGCTCAGGACTTAAGCCTCTTTAATTGGTACTATCTGTTCAAACTTGGAGGAGGAAGGTAGAGGTGGTCCCTTGGCCACCTGGTCAAGAGACCAGAGCTAGTGTCTGCATATTCTGCCTAGAAACAGAGCCCTAGTGTCCTGTCTGTCACTCGGTTGCTACGTGGCGAGCCTGGCAGAGAGTTTAGTCTAAAGACTGGGCTCAGTTCTCTTTCAGTTTGAGAGGCAGGCGGGCAGGCAGCATCTCTTCCCCCCTGCATGGCCCGGTTTGCTGTTGCAGATGGGTGAGGCTTCCTTCCTGCCTTCTTCAAGATGTTTTTCTGATTTTCATACTGAAACCGGGTGCTGCAGATGTTTGCATAGCTTCCTTAGTTGCTGTGAAAATGGTGTGAGGTGTTTGAATTGGTATCTGTGTGGAGAAGAGATCCCTTAAGCAAATACCCAGCTGGCTGCCATTTGCCCCACCCTCCATTTCTGGCTTCTCTTTCTCTTATTAATGTTTTCCTTGAGAATCGTGCACGCGTGTGCATGCACACACACACACACACACACACACACACACACACACACACACACAAGCCATTCCCATTACTGTCCCCCTCATCCTCTCATCTCCTAGCAAGGTGTCTGGTGGGTGGTGTCTTTTGATGCCATCTGTTGGCAGTACACACATATTGCAGGAACACTTACTTTTTTGCATAAAGTTACTTTAAGTATGCATTTAATTGTGAAAAATATAAATGCTAAAACATCTTATCTTCTTTGTCTCTTAATTCTGTAAAAGTCACAATAGAAAGTTTCATAAAACTGCAAAATATTATGTTAGAGGAGTTTTAGGTTCCATATATTACAGAGGTTGGCACTGATCAGGAATAGGATAAAGGTCCCTTCAATCTTTTTATACCACTCGATGATTTTGGTGCAAGAACCTGAGATTTTCTTCTTTACACTCTGTGGTATTTCCCATTGCTCTTAGAGCACGAGCATGAAGCGCAGTTGGTAGGAAGATACTGGAGATGGTCAGAAGACAGCAGCTCTTCCCTGTGGGAAAAACCTTGGGGGTTTGCAGCGACTTCATTGAGCTGCATGGAAGCCTGAAAAGAAAACTGCTTTTGTAACATATGTGAGTCTGGTGACTTTGGTTTTGACCAGAGGTTTGGCTATGTCTTATGCCTGGTTCATTTCACTGTGCTCTGTGGGTGCACACAAGAATCCTGAATTCTGCTTCCTTGGCAAATACTGCAAATTCTCACCCAGTGAGTACATACAGCCTGAAGTAACTTTGTCCTGGGCTGACAGTGTGCAGCAAACACAGACTTGCTCCCTCACAGCCATTTTCATGACTGGTTCACATCCATACGCATTACTTTTCACAATCAGCATGCACTTTCAGATATTCTTATTTTTAGTCTCTTAAATCTTTATTAGCTTTGGAGAAATGATGCATCTTTTTATTTTAAATGAAGTAGCTCAACATGGGGGAACAGAACGATAACACTTTTTTCTAAACTGTATAGTGACAAAGGCCAAGAAGGTTTTGATCCACCTTGGGGAGTTTGAGTGCGTGTGTGGAGAAATGGGAAATGTGTTTTAAAGTTTCAGGAGTGAGATTGTCTGGGTGGCACACAGTGGCTGCCCTGTTGGCTATGGCCTTACATGTATGTCCAGGTGCCTCTCGTAGCTGTCCTGTGGGTTCTGGGTCCATTCCTGTTAACTCCTTATCCAGTTAGGCTAATGAAAGAGCTGCTGAAGTGCCTTGGGGCCTCAGAGTTGATAGGAGACAACTGAATTAAAATGACATACCCAGAGATTCTAAACTGTTTGCAAAATAAACCAATCTAATTCTGGTGAGCCTTACTTCTGGCCTACTCACCCCCTCCTCCAGGAAACAGGAAACAGATACAGCTTGTGGCCATTTTTCTTCTAACATGGTGTTTCTTTTAAGATCTGGGTTTTAAAATCCGGGTTCAAGTGGCTTTTGTCAAAGCTGAACACATTCAAGGCAGACAGCCACATTGGCTAAAACATTATCTGAGGTTTCTGAGAAGAGTCAGCCTGGCTCTGACTGCTGACTGTGTCAGATGGAAGCTAACGACCCTGGGGGCAGATGAGAGATTGTAAAGAGCACTGCTTGATTGAAGGTAGTAGAGGGAGACAGGGAAAATTGGAGAAGGGTAATGGAAAGAGTGCATTAGTGAGGTTTCTGCACAGGCACCCTTTACTCAGAGATTCCTGTAAGTGGTCCCTCGCTGGGCAGAATCTATTATCTCCCTGGGATACCCCATTATGGCTTAGTGGAGTGGAAACCATGGTGCTGTGTTCTTGGCACTGGGAGGAGCAACCTAAGGAAAGCATTTCCCAGAAAACCGGGGGGGGGAGGAATAGAACTTAGTTACATGGTAGAAGTAAGTCTTGATACACAGACGTTTGCCTGCAGAGTTTGCTTTGTTCATGAGGAATGATGAGAGAATGGTATGGCTTTGCCTGGTGGTGGAAATATATGTACAAATATGTGTACATTGGAAACAGCATTTCTAAAAATAACAGAAAACAGTGAGATGAGAGACTTTTGGGAATTGGGAAGGGCGATTTTATTTGTTTGTTTGTTAGTTTATTTGAGACAAGGTCTCATGGAACCTAACTCACTATGTAGTGAAGGATGAACTTGAATTCCTTATCCTCCTGCCTTCATTTCCTAAGAGCTGAGATCACAATCATGTACTATTGGCCTGCATTTTAATTGTTTATAATTTCAATTTCTTGCCTGTTATAACTACATCAGAAATGGGCTAAATACTTCTATGCAGGCTAACCTTCAGTTATCGGGGCTAACACATAAATAAAGTATTGCTATGCTCCCCCTTTAGCAGGAGAAATGGGCCTGGAAATGTTCTAGAATGTACGCAAGTTTGCAAAATTAGGAAGGGTAGGGAAAGGCCTCCTCTGTGGTGTTCTGGCTGTCCCTCCACGTTTGCATGAGCCTTGTGTCACTCTTGCTTCCGTGATCTGTGCTGCTGTCCCACAGATTTCTGCTGTAAGTCCCTGCTGCCCCATTTCTTTCCAGCCTCTCCAGTGATCCGTTTCCACTGTAGTGAGCGCCGTCAGAATGCACCCGCTGCTCTACGGTGAAGGAGCCCCACCTCCCAGGAGGCTTAGATTAAATAACCAGCTTTTTATCGTGTGCCATCTTTCCCTTGATGCTCACTCTCCCATCAGCCTTCCTCTTGCAACCGTCCTTTTTCAGCCCTGACCTACACACATCAGAACCTTGAGCTCAGAGGAGCCCAGAGAGGACAGCTAAGGGGCCCCAAGCCACTCTTTCCTGTGAGAAAGTTCTTAGAATTCTTCAAAGGGTTTGCCCAGTGTCACAAGTACCATCGAGGTGTGCGAGCACAAAATTAGACTGTGTCTCCTCCAGCGGAGTGCTTTAGATGTGTTTAAGCTAGGTACTCTGTTGCTGAAGAGAACTATTTCTACTTTAATGCCGACACGGAAAGCACAATGGGCAAGTCGGAGGACTACAGTCGGGAAAGCCGGCTTCATTCTAAGGTGTTTTTTTTTTTTCCTTTCTTAACCTTGCTGTATAAATATTTGTACCCAGGATCATGGAAGAGGGCCGGAGGGTACTTTGGCAAGGCAGCTCAGGTAAGGAGTGAGAAAGTGAGGCTCAGAGGACTTCTGTATTGGCACAGGGAAGGTATCCCCTCACTGTAGGCAAATACTGGATGCGAGTTCAGGGCCAGAACCTGAAAAATTAGGGTACAAGGTTTTGCTTTGCAAGCTGTGTTCCTAAGCACATCACCTGGCTTCCAGTCTCAGTGTTTCTATTCATGCATCGAAGTCAGTGTCCCACTGAGTATTTTTGTAATTAATGAAATTGATCAAATGTAGAAATTAGAAATATTATGGTCAAAGATCTAAGTAAGAATTGGAATGAAGGCTCTCTTCTCCTCCTCTTCTCTCTTCCTAGCTTTCTCCCCGCTTTTCTCTCTTCCTCTCCTCTCTCTGTTCCCAGGCTGCCACGCAGTGAGCAGCTCTTCCCTCTGCCAGGATAGCCTCACTGCCGGTGCACAGCAGTGGAGTGAACAGTCCATGGACTGAAACATCTAAACCATGGGTCAGACCAATAGTGTCTTCTGTTGTTTCTGTCGGTATTTGTAATGGCGGTAAACGTCCAGCACAGAAAACTGGCACCAGAGAAGTGGGGTCATTAACGTAACAACTGGGAATGTTTGTGGGAAGGATCTCAGTGAGTCTTGGTAAGCAGACTAGAAGAAGCCCAGAAGTTGGCAGGAAGTTCCTGTTGGGGTCCCGTGGGAGTGCAGAAGGCCAGAATGGCAACTGAAAGAAGACAGCGGAGTGTGTCAATGAAATTTCAGATGGGAATTGAACTCAGGTCCTCTGCAGGTGCTCTTGACCTCTGATCCGTCTCTCTAGCCCTGTAGCTAGAGTTCTCACTGGAGCACACCCTTCACTCTGTCCAGGCTCCTTTGCTCAGCAGGCTTTGAGTCTCCCTGGTTGTTCTGAAGCTGGACAGTGGAAACTTATTTCCTCCTAATCTCCACTATGACACTCGCTTAGGTCATTGCAAATCATTTACACTTTGGTTCCTTCATCTCTAAATTGGAATAACACATCCCAGTGTCATGTCTGGAGGTTTTGGGGGAGAAGACAAGAACACTTGTCACCTGGACATGACTGTTGTTTGGGCTCCAAATGGAAACCACTGGATGAAGGCTCGCGCACGTGTGTGTGTGTGTGTGTGTGTGTGTGTGTGTGTGCTGTAGAGAAGGTCAGGATAGGGTTCTTTAAATGTGTTCATTCTCCTAGTGGTAGGACCTGTGCATGTTTCTCATGTGATTTCCACATCAGCTGACAGAGGGTGAGAGAAGTCAGAGTGTATGTACCATTTGCCATGGACCTCCACACACAGAGCATAGGCGGTGGTGATAGCCATTTTAATTGAGTTACTCTTTCACCAGGGTTATTATAAGGCTTTGTGCATAATTTCTTGTGTCTTTGTTGGCTTGGGAGTCTCTACACCTCAGTGCCATTGTCCTAAAATGGAAATGTTAATAGTATGACCCCACCCACACTCCTCTGTCCAGAGAGCTAACAGGGAAAGTTTTGTGGAAAGCCACACCCAGAAGGAACCAGTTATTCTAGTTGGATCTTGTGTGAGTCCAACCAAGTCTCATAGGGCTGGGCCTAGTAACACTGGGCAAATGTTCAAGCCTTTGTAGAACAAGTATGTAGAGTCTTGCTCCCTCGCAGATCAGGAAAACCACAGTCAGCAATACCAACTAAAGGTTGGGCATCCACCTTGGTGACATGAGTGTCCAGGACTTTTCTCACTCATGATCCATTTTTGCTAGAGGTAGTTTTACATGACTCTATAGAAGGGCTATGCAAATCACAAAAGAAATGTCATTTTAAAACAAGTCTTTTGTAAATGTATAATGTGACTGAATAAGGATGTAAGCAAATTTGCATACTAAGGAAACATGCTTGTTTGTTTTTGTATAAGTAAATATTGGTTGACTATTTAGTACTGAAGCACATAGAATCTTCAAGGTTTTCAGAGTTTACTGATAATTTGATTATTTAATTGTTAATACTGACAATACCACTTTGTGTAAACACATAGCACTGAATAGAAGAAGTTTGCTTAGGGACAGTTCGTAAGATTTTTGAACAGACTATCCTAATCCTAAGACAAAATCCATTTAGCAATGTTTTATGAAATCCAGATCAACCACTCAAATAGTAATTTAAAAAAATCAAACCTTTGAACATGGTGCAGTAGAAAGATATACCAGCTTGCCACAATCTGAAGAATGATAGCAGGGAAATACCGAGTCTTTGCTTTCTGTCATCAAACCATTCTGTTTCTATAAGAGCAGAGATCTTAGCATGAACAGTACAAACATTGCAGGTGGTACTATAGCGTAGTCTGGAATCTGAGCCAAGGTGTTTCAATGACATTTATTGGTGTTGCTTGGTTTGATGGCATGCTCTGAGCAAAGCCTGCATGTTGTGTGTTCAGAATGAAGCCTGTAGCAAAACCACACAGTGTAAAGCATCAGATCCATCACATGCTTGATGTTTCTGAAACCTTTCACTGTTGCCTGCTTTTTTTTAAGCCATCTTTAGTCACCCAGTCCCATATGGAATCACAGCCCACAGTTTAAGGTGCTGGTGCCTTGCCCTGGAGCAGGAGGTCTCCTTGGGTTTTGGTTCCTCCATGGCTTCCTGACTTTGGGGGAAGGATTTTTGGGAGAAAAATGGTTTTGATTGGAAATAAGGTGGAACCCTTTACACATCCTATTCCCATTTTCTGTCTCTGGCATGGTGTTCTGCCAGCCTTCCGGATACATGAACTCACGTATGAAGAGGAGCCTTGAATCATGGCTGTTTTCAAGAGATATACCAAGTTAGAATGAAGACACAGCTCCTTGTATTAATGAGAACCTTCCAGAGACCTGTGATTGGTCTGGGTCATGTCTACTGGCAAAAGAAGTGAGATCTGTAACTGAAAACAGGTACATGTGTACATTTAGGGAATCAGCATGGCTTCAGCTGGAAAGTGTGTTCCTCAGTCCCTTATATGACTCGTTACCTTTCCAGAAGTCTCCTCAGTTCTTGCAGCACTGGGATTGAGCCTGGGGCCTTGTGCATTCTTAACAAGTACACTATCACTGAACTATACACCAAGCTCAAGTCTACATTTTAATTTCCCTTTTCCGGAGCTACTAATACTTCTTCCAGGGTGGTTCTCAGCCTTTCTAAGGCTGTGACCCTTTAATACAGTTCCTATGTTGTGGTGGCCCCCAGCCATAAAATTATTACCATTACTACTTCATAACTGTAATTTTGCTGCTGCTATGAATTGTAATTTAAATATCTGTTTTCCAGTGGTCATAGGTGACTCCTGTGAAAGGATTCTTTGACCCCAAGGGGTCCTAACCCACAGGTGAGAACTGCTGTTCTAAGGGCACCCCTGTGAAAGCAAATCTTGAAAGAAAGAAAATGAAAAGGGCAGGGCAGGTGGTGGAAAGCAGGGCCAGGCCGTTAGGCTGTGGAGAGGAAGGAAGATTAAAGGAAGTCTTCCTTCTGGCAGGAGCTACAGTTCTGGAAACCATGAAGGGCATCAGTGTCGAATTGCCTGCACATTCTCCTGCATTCACAGTCAGGACTAGTTGAAGGCCCTCGAAGGGAGAAAGTCTACACTTTCTTCAAAATCTGGGCGGTGTGTGCTGTAAATGGTAACTATCCTAGAAGGGGGTGTCCCCCGCCAGATTTAACATGTTCTTAAAGCGGCAAGCCAAATCTCAGAACAACCCTCGATATGTCTAGGACCTTCTAAGAATGAAGATCAGGTACTGTGGAGCCCTATTCCAGGCTAGACTTAGCCTAGAGCGGCGGAGGTCAGGGGGTGGTGGGGATGGTTACTGAGGGAACATGAATCTGAGGGAAGGACAGTTGTCACCAATGTAAGAGAAGGTTAAGCTTCTCCAGGAAGCACAGGGCTTCAAAGCAAGGACACCACCAGGATACATATGAGGACACCAGCTGAAGCAATAGGGCAGAAAATCCAAATTTGGTAGCAGTGTGGAACGGTCTCAACAGGTAAGTTTTGCACTGGGGCTCACAGACCCAGTACTGAGGAAGCGGCTCCGGTAGCGTTCCATCACACAGTGACGTTTGTACCCAGCAAGGTGTACAAGTGTATTTTACTTGTGTGAAACAGGAATAGGAAAAGATGTGCTTGAAAAAAAAGTAGTAAATGTCAAGTTGATTCTTCTGTAAGGAATAGCCGACAGCCATGGTGGACTCTAATGCACTCCCCGTCCCGTAGTCGCCCTCAGCAGGCTCGAAACTCCTTCACAGCATTTGCCTTTATATTATTATGTCTTGTGTATGCTGTTGTTCTTTGTGCGTGATGAAGCTTTGCACGGTACATTAACTTAAAGCAGTTATCTTACCAGAAAGAAGAGTCTGGACTCCACTTTCCTCTTCGCAGATGTTGGCCTTACCTGTTCCGATGTTGTTAGCAGCACCCTTGAGCGCCACCTTCGGGTAGATCCTGGATACTGCTCTAGTAACTAAGGCCCTCAGGATTGGATGCAAGCTAAAAAACCACCAGCTAACTTCTCAACTGTCCCTTCCGAGTTTATGGCACAGTGTAAGAAAATAGAAGTATTTCTGGAGACCAATTTTCATGACAAATTTTCTTGCTTTGTGATGGTCAAATACTAATTACTTTCCTCATGCTTGATTCAGAGACCTTAAGTGGAAAATTACTGACCAGAAGACTAAATTCAGTTGAAACAGTGGTTTGAGTCATTAGTCACTGAGGTTACTGCAAAGATGAGCAAAATTACTAGAAACTTTTTATCTAAGTCTAAGACCGTACAGAATTCAACTATTATTTTTAAAATCACCCGAACTTCTAACCTAGCCTATCTCCCCAATTCTTTTCTTTCTTTGTAAATTGGCAATTCCCTGTTGATGATGGGCTGCATTTTTGGAGAAGACTTTGAGGACATTAAAAAAAGAAACAACAAACAACGCAATCTGTAACAGGCCTAACAAGCCGTCTATGGGGTGCTGTGGGTAGAGCTCAAGGATTGCACACATGTCGGAGAGTGGTCTGCACCGAGTCAAGCCACCAGTGCCAAAGCCCTCTGGTTGGTCCCTTGGTGGTAAGATCCAGTTCCCTTCCGGTGTATGGCTCCTGTCTGCTGCCCAGATTTATCTGAGCTAGACTTCCAGCCATTGCTGATGACCAGGCTACTGGGGATGTTTCCAGGTGGTAACGAAAGCCAGGTGAAGCTGGTCACTCTGGCCTCCTGTCACTCCTTTACAGAAGGTTCCAGACGAGGATGGTCCTGGACTGGGGACTTCAGTTACGCAATAACATAGTAAGAACCAGGTCCTCTTTGGTGTGTTTGGTGTGTGTGTATGTGTGTGTGTGTGTGTGCATGTGTAGTTCAGAGTATAAAGTTAAGTGTCTTTCACGGGTACCATCTTGTTTCTTTGAGACAGGGTCTGTCAATGGCCCAAAGTTTCCCAATTAGGTTAGGCTGACTGGCCAGTGAGCCCCAGGGATCCATGTGCCACCATGAGAAGCTTTTGAAACTCAGTTTCAGGGACTGAACTAGGGTTCTCACACTCACAAGGCAAGCGCTTTACCAACTGAGCCATCTCCCTAGACCACTACAGCCTTTACTCTCTACCTACCTCAGTGTCTTAGATTTTGCTCCCAAGATGGGGGTCCGTGTTTCTGGGCATCCCATCATCAATTCCATTTGTCTGCTCTTGAAGAAATATGTTCTGCCTTCACACATGCTCCAGAACATTTTCCCTCCATGCTGATGGGTTGATATTATTGTTTGTAGTGGAGACTGGTGGAGATTGGTGAGTCCCAGTGCCAGCCATGCACATTAGACTCTCCACATAACTTTGTAAAGCCGCAGAGGCATATAGTGACCAAGTGTGTAGATGTGACTGAACTGGGATGGTTTTCTGGGAGCCGCTGGCTTAGTGTATCTGAGATTCCATTACATGATCTGAGGAGGACTCTCCTGAATATCGACCCTTTCATACCTTAAAACTCCTGCCCTTAATAATGAGGCTGAATGGAGGTAGGAATATGACAGCCAGACAAGGATATTATCTATTACTGATAAAATATACTTTTCAGAATCTATCAAGGGGGCTGGAGAGATGGTTCAACTATTGAGGGTGCTTCTTGGTCTTCTGAAGAACTGGAGTTCAATTCCAAGCATCCACTTTGGGTGGTTCATAACCTCCTGTAACTCTAGCTCAAAGGGATCTGAATGCCTCTTCTGGCCTTTGCAGGGTCCTCCCTCCCTCCCTCTCTCCCTCCCTCTCTCCCTCCCTCCCTCCCTCCCTCCCTCCAGCTTTATCTCACATATACACACCTTGTTTCTTCCTAGCTGCAAACTGTTATGTGAAACTAACAGCCACTGTTAGTGACTTATCTGTGAAGAGAAGTACAAGAAAGATTTAAAAGCCACTCCATAAATGTCACCCTTGCCAACAATTTTAATTTGATGGAGCAGAAGTGACATCATAGGCAGCATGAGGGGGTTGTGGTATAAATAGCAAGAACCCTTTAACTCAGGGGTATTGGCTAGCCCTTCTGGTAGCTGCCTCTGCTTCTGGAGTCTGGCTGTTCGGCATGCGGCTTTGTGATTCGAACTGCATCAGGTACCCAGGAGTCAGCACCTGGCTCCTGCATACGTGTTCTGGACCAGAGGACGGCCTATGCCCCTCCACCTCCCTCACACTCATATTTGGTCTGGAGCAAGGGGTCTGGGTTTCCTTCCTGCTGGCCACATGTTAGCTGGCTCGTGTCAGACTGGATTGATGCCTTCTTTTCTAGCTTACCCTTCTCCTCTCATGCCATGGTTCTGAGGAACAGGGAACTGCGCAAGACGAATTGTTCTTAGGTTTGTAGCCAGGATGCCAGCCTATCCGGGAGGTTGGAGACTGCAGGGAACAGCAGGGTAGCACTGAGGCCTGACTTTCAGGCAACTGCCCCACCTGGAACTCTGCTGAGAGCTGCAACCTGCCATCTGAAAGCTAACCACCGCGCTGACTCACCATCCTTGTGGTTGAGAGAACACCAGCGAGCAAGAGGCTCCCATGAGCCCTGGGGCTTCAAAATATAGGCCAGAGAGCCCCCACCGGAAGGGGCTTCGGTTAGTAAGAAACCAACCCTTTTCTGTCCTCTTTCTGTCTCTCTTATACCACATTGCTATGCCGGGAAGACCTGGGCATTTTGCTTTCAAATCCCCAGGGTGGCCAGGAACCAAGGCAAGTGGCAGGTGTGACATCTGCATCTCAGGGACTCTCCGGGTACAGTGGGTACTACCTGTTACTGCTAGACTTATGGTATGGCTAACTCTGGACCTAATACAACCATTGCCAGTGTCCTGGTAAAACCCCATGCATGATTCCTAGAGAAATGGTGTACCCAAAATAGAGATGTCCATAAATTTCAGACCAGGGCTTCGGCTTGCATAATTCAGGGAGGAAGGTAGAGGAGGACTGGAGAGAAGGAGATGGGAGAAGTTCTGCCTCACCTTGAATTTTTTGTCACCTTTCACGCTAACCAGAAGGTAGAGTGTATGGCACCCCTTATCCATCCCATACTTCCTCCCCCACTCAGTCCCACTGATAATAACATCTGACATCAACACCCAGCACTTCACCTCTCATATTAAGGCACAAAATAAAAACTTGAATACATAATGAGGTGGCAGATAGAATAAGATACTTAGATCCTAATATGCAGAAGATTTACAAGGCAAAGGCGACTTTGTAAATGTGGTTAGCATTATGGATGGAGCTGGGGAATTTACTCTGGCTTATTCTGGTGAGCTCAGTCCACTGCTTAGAAGCAAACGACCTTCCTTAGGTGGAGGCAGAGAAATGTGATCATGAAAATGTTGAAAGAAGGAATGAAAAGAGGTTTAGATGCTCCAATTCTGTTTCTCCGACACTGGGGCCTCCACGAAAAGATCAGAGAGACTTCTAGGAGTTAAAGCCAGCAAGGGAACAGGAGCCTCAGCTCCCTAACTCCATGCAACTGACAACAGCCAAAGAAGCATGGGCCTGGATTTTCCTCTGGGGCACTCAAGAGGGGCACGTTCCTGTTGATATCTTTATTTTTGTCCCGTGGGACCACAGAACTAAATGATGTGTTTGCAGCTGCTAAAGTTGAGCCAATCTGTTACATCACCATTTACATATGAATACAGCAGCAGGATGAATGCATTCTATACCTGCACACACCCTACCTCCTTTGCACAGCGCAGGGGAAGCACAGTTGACTGGGTGCTGCTACAAAAGGTGAACATCTCACCTCCCAGTTGTGCCCTCCTTGGCACTATTGGTGTCGCTTCTTTGTTGCAGTTTGCTTCCAGCATCTTCCCTTTGCCAGACTCTGTCTTAGAAAGGACACAGGGACCCCAGATGCTTCCCCTGGTGTGTGGTGCACACCTCTCACCACTCGCCAATCACCAGGATCTTGATGGAGTTTACTTTTTTTGCTTCCCAAAGTAGTTTTTTGAATTAACAGTACCCTCGCTATATAGACCAGAAACCGTGGGCTCAAAGGCAGTATAGTATGTGTTTCAATCTGAGGACACAAGGCAAGAATTAGGCTGAATCCAAGAGACGATACACTTCTTTCTGCCATGTGTCCTCCTGGGGTGGGCAACTTGTCCAAAGGTCCAGCTAATGTGTCAGATGACATTAGATCCATAGGACTGACGGATTTGCAGGACCTGCCCTTGGCTGTTATTTGTTTCTCTGCAGAACCTGCGGGCAGATGAGGGCAATGTCACATGGATGCTTCGGGAGAGCATGCTACTCTCTCCTCTTCTCAAATCCTATGTATTCTCTCTTCCTTAGAGACCCATAGAGGATGCAACCTGAGGATTGGCAGGGGTGAGTAGTGAGGGTGCCCTGGGAGATGCTGTGCTGTCTGAACCATCTTTTACAGCTTGCTTCTGACTCCCCCCCCCCCTTTATAACCCAGGCTCTGGCAGTATGCAGTGGAGACAAGGAAGTGAATCCATTCACCTGTTATCACCTCTTCTGATTAGAAACTCCAAACCCTGTGATGTCATAGTCTCTGTCTAGGGGCTTGGTCTATGTAGGAGGAAGCCTGTATGCCGCCATTAACCATGTGACTTACTAGAGGCGCATACAGATGAGGTAATAAAAGAGCGGTTACCACACCGCTAACCACACCCACTTTAAGCATGACTAAAGACGTATACCTACGGACGTAAACACGTATACGTATGTAGGTGGTGAACTACGTCACTAGCCAGGCCCACTTTTGGGCATGGCTAGGGGGCGTTACAGGGGAAGGCATAAAAGACAGCACAAAGGAAGTCTTGGTCTCTTCCCGGAGTTCAGCTTCTGGCTCGGCAGCGGGAAAACTACTTGGCTCATCTGGGAAGGAGAAACACAGGAAGTCAAGATGTAACGCCATGGGGTAGGACGCCCAGAAACCTCTCCGGTAAGAAAAATACTTAGATTAACAATTATGGGATAAATACTTAAGTCAGAGCTAGCCAGTAAGAAACAAGCAAGGCCAACAGCTTCATAATTAATATAGCCTCCTGTGTGTTTATTTGGGACTGATGCGGTTCTAGAACCAGGCTGTCGGGAAGGCTTCTCTCAAGGAAAAAGCTTCCCTTTACAGGTCTAGGTTCTGGGGCCTTGGTAATTTTTGTGGGGTTGGCAGTGGAAAAAGAGGACACGTGGTGTAACTACTCAGGTTCTTTGCCTGTGAAATTCAATCACTGCTTTCTGTGACTGAGAGGGTGCTGTGTTGTAAGAATGTAGACACCAGCATGGCAGTGTTTCCCAGGCTCTGGTCTCCTCAGGTCTGTCTGAGGATTCAGGAATCCTCAAATAGTGTTGGCTGGGTTCCACCTCTTGCTCTGCAACCCTGGGAGACACACTAGCCCACAGCTTCATGTTTCTTAAGTGCAGATGGCATGCGAGTCACTTAATCCATAGGCTTGTGAGGTTTACGTTTGAAAAAGGGGACCAAGTTTTGTGCACCACGCACAGAGCGAGAAGCATCTACTGTTGCTTCTTTCTCAGTGCAGAGCAACACCTGGGTCATGGCCTGCAGTCGTCTTGGAGCTGACAACCAAAGGGAAGGAACTGTATTCAATGCGTGTGAAACCTCCAGCCTTCTCTCCTCCCCAGAGAATCCAACCTGGAGGTTTTGAGGGGTTCGGTTTCCTCCCATACACACTCACCTTCTGCCTTCAGCCAGAGGGGCTGGCTCCACTGTGGAGGGTGGACAGAAGGCTCCTCTGCTGCTCAGCATTATCTGGTTGGTTCTGCTTCTCACACCTCCTCTCACCCGTAGGGTTCAGGTTAGCTTTTCTCTAACTCTTCATAGAAATTACGATTTGTAGGGAGAGATCTACATACCCATAGCGTGGCCATAGTGGTCACAGGTACACAGAATGTATTGGGGATAAAAGAGCCTGGGGGGAAGGAGACACTTTCTCTTTGGGTTCTGGTTGCATCCTGGAGAGCAGCGTGCAGACCTTTGCTTCTTGGCTTTCTTGGCTTCTCACATAAGTGATTTCTCCCTCAATAAAATATCATAGGACATCCCTATTTTGTGTAGCTTAATATTTCCACATTATCTGGTGTCAGGAAGTAAGTTTACCCAGCCTCCCCACCTTCCACCTCCCTCCCCAGCCTGGTGCCAGCCTCCAGCCTATGTGCATGGCCTGCAGCCCAGCGTTGCGTCTAGGTGCCCCAGGCCCTCCTAAGTCACTGGGGTTTCCCAACTCAGTCCAGTTCTCCCACTTGGCCCTGCTCTCTTCCGCTGAACAGGGTTCCATCTCCTTTGTTCTCCACTGTCAGCTCCAGCCCAACATGCCCCATTTCCTCCACAGTGGAACCTCATGAAAGGAGCCGGCTGAGCCCACCCGGGAGCAGCTGCTCACACCGAGGCCCAAAAGCAGCTCAGTGTTGGGAAATGGCGTGGCGTGGCATCTCCTTTGTTCTCTGGCTGCCCCAAAGGCCACCGGCGTTCCAGGAGACCGCGCATCTCCCAGCCCTTCTGTCCACTAGTCCAGCAAGCCCCAGTCCCCAGGGAGCTTGTAGAACGGGTGCCCCCGAACAGCCACCAAACACCACGGCTCCCCCTGGCTGCAAGTCGTGCCTCTCTCAGCGGTTGCTGAAGGGCGGCACTGTGTGGTGTTCGCTTTGGTTCCCACAATCTGCGATGGGCTCTTTTCCCTTTCTTTTACCAAATCCAATTTAGTAAAAGATACTTAGGATTTTTCAGATTCCACTGGGAAAACACAGAGCGCCCACTATGGAGCAGTGTTTGGTGGCACACATGTGCCACCCGCTGGCAAATAGTAGTTACTGCAGGTAAAAAATCATTTTCTCAACCTGAGGTAAGTTTTCCATTCGGGTAGTTTAAACTGGTGATAAGATTACCTACTCTGTACCATGGCAGATAATCTTGCAATGCAGGACGTTAGAGATCTCATTGCGTATTACATGAATGACCTCCTGGGAGAGGATTATAACATGCCCCAAATATATTTATATCTAATACTAACGATTAGCTTCATAGTACATATAACATCCTGGAAAATAGGCCTTGATAATAGGACTGAAAGCAGGGAAATTGTGCAAAGTATTGAGAAATTACAGACAAAAATTTAAAATCTTGAGGTCAACAGGGAAATGTCTAACAAAGTAGATAACTTAGAACTTGAATCTACTACCCTCATGGCCACAATAGGATCCATTCAGGAGAACATTATCAGGCTGACAGATACAACTTGTTCCATGTCTGATGACTCAATTAATAGAACTCGAAGACTGAAACATCAGATTGGTGAACTTACTGAAACAATTCATTCCATGTCTGAGGATAATGATGGGCTATTAGATAGAACACAGTTCCCAGAAGGCAACTTACATGCCTTTCAAATAATATCTAAGGATGAGAATGTTAAATGCTTGGAATCATGTATAAACGATGAGTCTAAGAAACTTACAGACTCTGTGAAGCCCTTAGAAAAACTTTTGACCCAGGAAGTACAAGCACTGAGAGAAGCAATGGTCAATGGGCTGCAGGTCTCAGATGATCTCCAATCTGATACACCAGAATCAGAAGTACTAGCAACAGGTCATGACAGAGGTTTGCCTACGCCTCTCAGACACCGCGAGGGTTGTTATGCCACCTCCCATGGTCTTCCCCGTATCTATGACTGAAAAACCAGTAACCGAGAAGCATCCAAATGGTTTCATTGCTTACCCATGGGAACCAATACAGATGAAGGACCTAAAGGGATCAAACAAGTCATTGTTTCTTATGGTCTTATGTCAGGGAACTTCTGAACTCTTGGATAAGCATGAATAGGGTGACCCCAAAGGGTTGGAGTCAATTGATCTCAGCGGAGCTGGAAAATTCGTCTCAAATACAATGGAGAGCTTTATGGTTGAAAGAAGCAAATGCCCTCGAGCTTCAAGGCCTAAAGAAAGGTTATGAAGCCCACCAAGATAAGATTCCTGGGGAGGGCACTTATGCTGATCCACAAGCTCAGGTTGCATATGACCAACACATCTTGTCTTTATGCCATACAGCAGCTCTGAATGCTTTGAATAATGTTTGTGAACCAGGAGAGAAAATACAACCTCATACCAAGGTAGTACAGGGTCCAAGAGAAAAGTTTACTGGATTTTTGGAACGACTGTCCAGAGCAGTAGAATTACAGGTAACTGACTCAGATTCTAGAAGAATACTTATAGAATCTTTAGCTTATGGGAATGCAAATCCACAATACAAATAGGTACTTTGGGCACTAAAAATGGGATCAGCACCATTGGATGAATGGGTCTTGCAAACAGCAAATATTGAGTATGAAGATCAAGATACAGAAGCTTGGGTAGGAGAGACAATTTCTAAAGGTTTGAAGAGGCATGAAGATGCCAAATGCATTAACTGTGAGGATATAGAAACTTGGGTAGGTGAAGCAATTTCCAGAGGTTTAAAAAGACATCAAAATACCAGATATTTTAGCTGTGGTAAAATAGAACATCTAAGAAGAAATTGTAGGCAAAGCATTCCTAGAAATAATGCTCCTCCTAGGAATGATTCAAACAGAAGGCCTCAGCCTTCTGGATTATGTAGGAGATGTGGCAAAGGCCGACACTGGATCAATGAATGTAGGTCGACCACAAATAAGTGAACTCTTTACAGTCTGGAAACTCCTTGAGGGGCCTCTCGAAGGCCCCCATGCCAAAAGTGGTGTGGTCATTCCCAATCACTGTGGAGGACAATCTCTCCCAGGGCAATTGGAAGATTCACTGCCTATTGTAAAGAATAATAGCACTCTGGATGATAGAAAATCTACTGAGGATCAACCAATTGTACCTGGAGTAAACAAAAAACATATATTTTGGCAAACTTCTATACAGGATCACAGACCAAAATTACCAGTTAAAGTGAATAATAAGGTGTTTATTGGAATTGTAGACAGTGGGCTAATATCACCATCATAATAAAAAAATCTTGACCCTCCAGATGACCCCTACAAGAAGTAAATGTTCGATTCTTAGGGATTGGAACCCTATCTCAAGTAAAACAAAGAACAAGATGGGTTGACTATATAGGACCATAAGGACAAAGAGGAAGACTGAGGCCGTATGTTGCAGACATAACTATAAATCTCTGGGGTAGTGATCTATTACAGCAATGGAATACCCAGATTAACATTCCTCCTGTACTAGTTATGAATCATAAACAAGCTCTTGGTGGTAGAAAAAATATTGTAAGGCACTACAGAAAATAGATGCCAACCATACAGGCTGTACAGAAACAGGATACGAGTGCCAAACCTACAGAGGAACCAAAAACCCTACCCTTAAAATGGCTAACAGATGAACCTGTCTGGGTAGGGCAATGGCCTATGACCTCTGAGAAGCTAGAGGCTTTAGAAAAGCTGATTTGGGAACAGCTAAATGTTGGACTGTATTTATTATCCAAAATAAGTCTGGCAAATGGAGGATGCTTACTGATCTGAGAGTCATCAATAAAGTAATTCAACCTATGGGCTTGCTACAGCCTGGGATGCCATTACCTTCTCTGTTACCTAAAAGATGTCCAATTACAGTAATTGATCTAAAAGACTGATTCTTCATGATACCTTTACAAGAAAAAGATAGGGAAAAATTTGCCTTCATAGTACCTACCTATAACAA